TGTAAGTTCCTGTGAGTTCCTGTGGTTTCCTGCTCATTGCTTGTTTTTTTATTTTGCCTTCTTCTTTTTGTTATAAGCACTTCCACCCAACGTATCAGCGCGCCTCATTTGCATGGCGTGTGGTACAAAATGAATTTGCGCATATTTGGCATATTATTTTACAGTTGGGGCAATATGCAGCCAAAGGACAAGCACTTGACAAGCTGCTGCGTTTTTGACGGGTAGCTTAAAACAGTATTGTATATATATATATGTATATGTGTGTGTATGTGCTGCATATGTGCACAGATCTCGAGAGCACAAACCCAGCCCTGCTATTGTCATCCGCATTGCAACCCCTGGCTGGGCTGCCTCCTGCCCCTCGCGCTTTGCAACTCATGGCACATCCCTCAGTCGGCCCAATCGCTTCCATTGTATTTTCTTTTGTCATTGTGCCTTTTTTTTATTTTTGTACGATTTTTCCTTTTTGTATTTGTATAATTTTTTCTGTCGCCTTCCCGTACCCCTGCATAATATGCCGCCACCTTACAGTGGGCAACACACAGCGAAAAGCGAATGCCCATTGTTTGCCCGACTCTGTTTTATTCTCCTGCAACTCGGTGTCGCGTCTTTTATGTTTCATTGGTGTTTTCTACTCTCGTTTCGGGTATATTCATTTAGTAGGGTAACAACTCTCATTCCAGATAAACATATATTCTCTCGATCGAACAACAAGCGAGTGCATATAGATATGTCCTTTCTGTTTTCAAACTATATTATAGAAACAATCGGTGGGTAATAGAGTTTATATAAGCCACATGTCTTGCAGGGTATTTGGACTTCGGTGTGCCGTAGATAGCCACTCATTCTTGTTTCTTTATGCGCTGCTGTAACTTTTGGCCAGCATCAACCTCCTCCCGCTACCCAGCCGCACACTTTGCCTCCTCTTGCTCCTACTCCTCCTCACTTGCCTCCTCTCCCCCACCGCCCCCCTTCACGTCATCATCTTCATCTTCAGCGTCGACGTCGGCGTCTGAGCCTGCAATCCGTGCGTCCTCTGCCTGCCATTTTTATTGTTCTTTGCACAGAACTTCATTTTAGCCCACTTTTTGGGTGGTTTATTTTTATGGCTCCATATCGTGCCCGCACCGCCCTTCACTCGGCATTTGGTGTCTCTCACGAGTCGTTGAGTTCTTGTGCTATTTGCTGGGCTCACACCCACCACAAAAGGATCGCCTGGCCGCATCCTGGTTCTTTTTGGACTCCCGTTTTTGTTCTTTCTCCTTCTCTTTGGCGTTGACTTTGATGAGATTTTTTGAGGTTAATCCCTTGTAGTGCCAGGACCAAACGCGTCAAGTCCAAGTTCTTGCCGTGGCTTTGTCTGCACGTACTATGTGCGTGTCTGCGTCTCTCTGTGTGTGTGTGTGTGTGTGCTTGTGTATGTGTGCTGGGGTGATTATTCTTGGCGTGGAGTGGAAAATTAGTAAATGTTGGAAACGCAGCGATTGTTCTTCTTCTCTCCTGTCAAGGAGCCGGCTGCCGAGCTTGACTGGACAATGGTGCGGGCTGAAGGGCTGTACGGTCAATGGGCGTGGCACGTGCGCCTTTTTTACCGTTTACCGTTCGCATTTGCTTTTCTTTGTTGTTGGATTGTACGAAAATTAATTTTGTTAGCTACCAACTGCTGCCGATGTCAAGACCTGGCGCCGTGGCAAGGTCCTTGTTAATGGACGCTGCATTTGAGTCGTTTCACGGGGACTTTACTGTGGCAGCCAGAGCGACCGGAAGTGACACCTTAAGCGACAAAGCAGCGACAGAAACCAAAAATTGTTGAATGCTCTGCTCAAAAGTTTGGTGCAGGGTGTATTATCATACCCTGTAACCAATGAGCAGCTTTAAAATGGGTATATTGGACTTTCGCAAATGTATGTAACAGGCAGAAGAAGATACATCCGAGCCGAGTACAGTGCCTGTACTATAAACAGACTCAGAATGTTTCACCTTTTTCGCCTAACAGAAAGCTGTTCGACTACATCTAACTGCAGCTAATTAAAGAGTATCTTCTAGTCTATCTTCTCAGTTGTGTTTTTTTCTCCATCAAAAGTTCAGTGAGTGTGTCCTTGTGAGTGCCGCATTACATCATACAAAAGTAATCAGCAATAAAAAATGTTGCGACCCACATTCAAAAGGAGTTTTCAAGCGTTCTCAGGAGCTGCATTTCGTGGGGAAAACTTTAACAGATTATAAAATAAAAACGACGAGGGGTAGACAAGGGTTCACTGGGTTCAGCTCCTCCATTGAGTTGCACCGAAGCAGAAGACCAGCGGAACTAATGCAGTTTTTCATTCTAAAGTCCTTAGCGGGCCAGACCCTTGAGTTAGCTCGTGTTACGCTGCGTATGCTTAATATGCGACTACCCACACAGTCAGCTTGATATTTATGACACAGACTCGCAGCTCACACCCACACAGACATTAAATGCCAGATATCCTTTTAACACTTAAAGCGGTGAAAATATTAAAAACAAAAACCACAAAGCCAACAACAACAAAAGCAACAACAACAACAGCGCACAACATTTTTATTGATAAACGCGCAGACATGCCAGCACGCGCACACATACTACACAAGCGGGGGCGTGGCATGTGTGTGCGGGTGTGTGTGTGTTTGTTTGTTGGTCGTGTCCATGTCGAACCACAGCGCAGCTCAGCACAAGTGTATAAAATTATGAAACAGCTCGCACCGTTCGCGTGGCGTCCCTTCTCGCCAAAACTTTCCACATCCACACCTAAGCCCCACACTCAACCCCGCTCGACACAGCACATATCATTGTGGGGCTAACTGCTGCACAGTGGTGCGCAATCAAATGTTCCTGATTATATATGTATATATATTTTATTCTAATATTTATTATTATCACAATAATTAAATTTCTTCCCAACTTAAGGCTATTCTTTAAGCTTTTATTTAAATTTGTGCTACCAACTTTTCGTATATATTGTCCCACTGTGCTCACTCATGTTCGTCCTTGCTCTGGCCCCCACACTACACATAGAGTACACACACACACACACACACACAGACACACAATTGCGCTTGTGCTGGGTGTGCGGTGCCTTCTGACATGGTTCCGGCTTGTTTGTTTGGTTTATTTTATGACCATAACCGAACACCCGCAGACCCTACCAACCACCCAACCACCCAACCACCCAGCCGCCCAACCAAGCGCCCAACCGTCGGGCAACCAAACGGCCGACCAAAGCTGTCTGAGAGTCCAAACTATAATACACAGCCGTGCCTACTATGCAACATGGAGGCCCAAGAGTTGCTGCAGGCGCTTTGAGTATTCAAGTGTATGTAAGTGTGTGTGTTTGTTTGTGTGTGTGAGTATCTGTTTGCTCGTGTGTTTCGCAGTGTGTCTGCGTTAGTTTAGTAGCTTTTGCCGCCTGTTTGACTCGGCTGAAATTTCAGCGCTCCACTGTGCGAGGTTGTTGCTGTTCTGTGTGCATTTGCCACGCATATAAATTGCGTTGCTGTTACTGTGTCCAAGTGAGTGTGTGTGTGTGTGTCTGTGTTAGCATGTGTGTGTGTGTAGCTACGCTTAGCCCGTTGCTGTGCCGTTTTGTAAGCCAAAACCGGCTTAAATGCCATTTGTATGCATTGAATGTTGCATGTGGCAGGGAGTTACCAGCTAGGACGAGACGACGCACCGAGTTGCCACAGCCCATGTGGCACAGTGGCCATGATGGGCTAAACTATGGCATCTAGTCGCAGCATTTCTCTTTCTCCTCTCTCTTTTTAGCCCTCTCTCTCTCTCTGTATGTCTGTTATATTTGATTTTTTGGTTTAAAACTCTGTGCCACAATCCTATTTTTGATGGCAACTAAAATATGTTGCATATTATTTTCCATTTTGCATTTGCATATCCCTTTTATTTCAATTCATTTCAAATTTATTTTTTATACGCAACTCCACAACATGCCAAAAGTTGCGCTATGTGTGCATACATTCTCTTTTATTTTTTGTGTACTCGTTCATGTTTTCTGTTTTTCCATTTTCCACACTTTTTTCCGTGTGGCAGTGTATGTGTGTATGTGTGCATGCAGGACATGTGGCATGGGTCATGGGCTGCAGCGACTGCAATGACCCAACAGTTGACCTCTCCTCGCATTCAACCCTGCTGCATTATTCTCGCAGTTTAGTTTATATTTTTACCAACTTGACATGTAAATACAGCATATACTCACAAACACTCACACATGGTTGAATACAATTGAAAATATTTACTCAACTACACAATGAATAAAATTGGAAAACACATAAATTTTCACATGTTTTTAAAACCAAAAAAAAAAAAAAGCCAAATTTAGTTAATAGATTGAGCAGCTAATCCCTGGGACATGGTGGCTCGGTGCACATCTTATCGGCAACGAATGCAAGGCAGATGAGAAGAATGAAGGCTTTTAGCTGCATCTTGTTTGTAGATTGGGCTCCTATTGATCTTTTCTCAGTCTCCGAGCTTCTTTTATATGCAGAAAAACGTTCGTGGCGTTACAAAAGTTCTAATTTGCTTTACTAATCGAAATATTCCCATTATAGCATGCAACGATTACGTGTTCTTATAGAGAAGAGAGAGAAGCCCGAACTAAAAATTCCAAAATTTCTTGTAACCTTGAGCCGAGCCAGTTGCTCTTGAACTTAGCCCAATCGTTAAGCTCATTGATTCGAATCGAAAACCGAAGAATGTTATTTCTAGGTTCGAAACCCTTTTCTCTGCTTCCTAGTCTTAGGTAACACTCGTTGAGTGTGACCAATTATGGTCTTTAATTAACGTAAAGAATTTAATCTGGTTCCACTTCAATTTTTTAAGCTGTCAAGCATTGACTCAAAAAGCTTAAGATTATAAGATGTAGGTTTTCAAATTTAAAAAAATACCAGCAAATTATCCGAGTTCTAGACTGAATTGCTTTTATATATATGTATTATTATTTAAAGATAAATATATATAAAAATTTACTTACCCAAAAATTTCAAGATTCAAGATCATTTGATTATCATATATTTGTAGGTGGAAGGCAGTCTTATATATAAGCACATTTCTGTAAAAAATAAAAGAATGTAATAAGATGAGAGTTGAGAGAGAGAGAAAGACAGGGAGATACGAATTGGAATGAGAGTATTCATACTAAAATATAAAAAAATAATAATATACAATTTGCGAAAAGAAATTCTTACATGAATTTTTGAGAATCGCATAGTAAGGCCTCGCCCTTTTAAAAGAAGCAGTTGGTCTGCACCCACAGCACAAATGTGCTAAATAATGTAATAAATGTAGCTTTCGGCTCTTAGCTTTGAACCTTGCATAGATTATCGATCAGTCAGGCAGTCGAAATGCTGCAGCATTCTCTTAAATAATCTTTCCATGTCGAGAATTGAATAGTCCCAGGCTATGTTAAAATCTAATACTAATAGTTAGCTGGGAAATGGTCAGTTTTGGAAACTGGGTTGTGGTGAGGGGAAACGGTAACAGCCCCAATCGACAGCCCAAATTTAGTTGGTTAAGCACAAATATCCCCTGGAAAGGGTGTATTATTGTTATGATTAAACTATGAGTACGGGTGTACGGAGTGCGCAGCAACCCCCAGAAGGCCCGAAAACAATCCAATCCAATCTGTAGCTAACCCGTACCCGCAGCCGTGACCATCTTAAACCCAACACCAAGTCAAGCAAACCAATCTCATACGTCCCATCGACCATTGAACAAGAGCGGAGTGGGTTGGGGGTGAGCAGACGTTTCCCGTTTGCCCGTTCCCCAATGCTACCCCACTTATTCTATATTTTACTTAATGCATTCCCTGCTTATCCTTATTTTTATTAGTGTTTCAATATTCTTTTTCACTTTGCTTGGTTGCGTTTTTCTCAGCCATCCTTTGGCCTGTCTGTCGATTCTCTCTGTGCGCTCTGCTGTTTGCCTTCGAGTCCTGGTTTCAGTTCCTGCTCCTGTCCGGGGTTGGCTCGTTTCAGCCATTAAATGGACAAATGAGGGATATAAAACAATTCGCTTTGGCTTCCTTTTTTCGGTCTCGGTGCCGTCTCCGAGTCCTTTGCTGGCTACTCTTCTGCTATATATATGTATATATATATTTTTTTTTGGTTTTTTTTTCTTCTACTCGCCAAAGTATTTTATTATTATATGTATTTCCTTTTTCTTGTAGACCTTCTGGGTTGGTCACTTTATTTGTACCTATCCATGGACACGGGCACGGGCATGGGCAGGGGCATGCAAAATGCTCGGTGTATCCCTTTGGGGCCATGTCCTGGCATGGGTTTGGCCGGGATTTATGCTCAGTTGTTGGGTGTTTCTATTTGCCTTTTGGGTGTGTTTGCTTACACGGCAAATGTCCGTTCGTCCCACTGTCGGTACGTCCTTTCGTGTGTCCTGTTTATGTAATCGCCCACATTAGTTCTCCAACGCCAACACAACTCCGTTTGCCATGTGTTAGTCCTCGGTGTTGGTCTTACAACATTTGCACTCACTTTGGCGACGCCACTGGAGCACGTTGGCCAAAGATTTGAGCTGGCAGCCAGCTCATTTATACTCGCAACTGGCAGCTTATTCGTATCCTTTTCAGTTTTATTCAACTGCCAAGAGGAGCACCCCAAAAAGTTACCTTAATGAACCGCATGTAAATAGACATCAAGGCTATGTACCTAAAGGTATCTAAATACTTGATGTGCTGAGTTGATCTATTCCACAAAAGCTAAAGAGATTTGAAATAAATGTTCTTATATGTGGATCCCAGAACAAGTTTACATCTTTCTCTATATCTTTGGCCATCTTCCAACAAATCGATAATTATCGGTTTTGAAAAGTATCTCGAGTACTTAAAGAGCTACACATGGGAAAATTTGTATGTATCTTCTTGTGTAGCACACATACATAAAGAACCTTTCATATTTTGCATACTTCCCGATCATTCGCCCCAAAACTGATCAAACTCGTTCTACAGGGTATCTGCAGATCGAGCACTATCGACACCTTTTTCTATTTTACCCAATTCTTGGTAATATGCCTGCTCGGCCCTCTATCTCTCTCTCTCTCTCTCTCTCTCTCTCTCTCTCTCTCTCTCTCTCTCTCTCTCTCTCTCTGTTTTTCCATGGCCCACTCGATGGGTCATTTTCCGTTTACTATATTTTTCTTACTTTCGTATTTTTCGGTGTCCTTCGCATGGCGCATGGAAAATGAAATGAAAATAGAATGATACTCATTAATTTGATAAATCGCGGGCACAACTGAGTGCTTGTACCATATATACCATATATATGGTATATGTATGTGTATATAGTCCTAGTCCTGTTTTATTGTACAGTCAACGCTTTTCCCGGTTGCTTTCGCTATTCTTTTGCTTTTGTTGTTAATAATGCTCGCAGATTTTATAAATGACCACGTTGCAAATGAAAAAAAATAAAAGTTGACCTTTAGCGCGTGAAGAGGAAGCCGCCACCATTCTCTGTTCTCTGTTGTCCTGCCTTCCGCCTCCCGCCTCCGTTTCCCCTCAACTTTGTCCTGCATCCTTCAGTCTTCGGCGATTGCTTTGTGCGCGTTGATTTTCTTTTCATCATCATCATCATTTTCATCATGACTATTATGATTATCAGCAACAGCAGAAATTGTCTTGAATTTTTAAGTAATTTTTCTTGGTTTTCAACGCCCACTTCGCAACATTTTCCAAGGCGTGTCTACTCCAGCCACCCCCTCACGACCCTTGTTGAGCTGAGCGCCTAAAATGTGAATTTGGCTTCGAATATTTTGGAGCAGAAGGCATTTAGTGTCGTCATGGCCATTTATTTGGAGACCCGAGCTTTTATTAGCACACATTTAATAGGGTCACGCGTGTATTTGATACCCTCCCACTGGCCACCCAACCAGCCACCCACTTTTGTCCCGTTTCCTGCCCACCTATACAACACCCTGCAGCGTAGGTGTTTTCGTTCGTTTACTTCTTGCTGCTTTTTTATTATTATTAATTTTCCAGCAAGTTACATGCACACAAAACAAAATAAAGGCAGGACAACAAGAAACAACAGCGGAAGCAAGTTAGGCAGGGGTGGACAGGAGTGGCAGCGGCAGGGGCAGGTAGGACAGCACGACAGCAACGCAATGCGAACGGACACTTAAATATGGAAAACTGAAACAGACGAAGAACCGAGAGCTTCTCCAAAATGAGGTCACTTTTTCTCACGAGCTAAGCGCGATAGATGGAAATATTTGCGGAATGACCTCTGGCCAGTAAATCAACTGAAAGCTAACAGAATACATTTATATATATGCGTGGAATATCAAATATGTTAAAGATGTATACCCTATAAGTATATAGAACCATTCATTAAACCCTTGCAGAGATGATATTTGAGGGTACTATTTTTACATGAATTATGACCAAGAATAATGTTGCCAGATTTAGATGCCAAATTGATATAGAGGACAAACCTCCACCCTTCCCTCTCCACTCACTTTCCCTTCTTCTTTTGATAAAGTATACGCCATCTCAAAGGCTTTCAAAGAGATCGCAACGGTAATCGCAAAATGTATTCAAGAGCACTCCAAGCTAGTGCTGATCATAGGGTATCTGTCAGTCGTTTACCCCCACTCGCTTAGCTGCTGATTTGGCTCACTGTATAGGGCTGATTCGACGCTCGTCGATTAAGTGGATCCGAGTTGAGTGCATGGCACAGTTAAAGTCGAAGTCGAAATGCCCTTGAAAACAGTTGTGGCCATCCGTAATGTCGTCTCCAGGCGCAAGAGCTCTAAAAACAAGCTAGACTTGAGACTCGGCCAACTGTGCATTAGCTGGGCTGGCGAAGGCCGGCGAAACTGGCAAGTGTTCCATTATGGATTATGGCAGTGTTGGGAAACTGTAAAAACAATGTCTGCACGAGCTTATTTGCATAGGGATCGCATTGCAGTACAAAGAATTTGGCGTACATTACGAAGAAATGTAATCGGAGAGGCGGCACAATATGACGTATACGCAATATGCGCCAGACGGGTGCAGAGTTTTGTTTATCATTTGATGCCAAGACTTGAACAAGAGTTGGAAGCGCTTAAAAATATGTCCGCAGCGGCTGCTCTTGATGACGTAGTTGGCGGCCAACTGTAATAACTGCTACCTGGCACCAAAGCGATAGCCATATATAAATTATAAAATAATCACAAGCCATGGCCAACAGAGCTAGACAAAGAAGTCGCCCGATTAAGCCGTTTATGGCCAGTTGCCCATTTTCCAGCTAGCAGTTGTTAACGCGAACTCATCGCGTTAAGAGCTACTGCAAATCGCTGGCTCCTCAATAAACTACAGCAGCAGTAGCGGCAGCGGCAGCAGACAACGTGGCGTATGCGTAACGCGTTCAAGTGCAAGTCCAGATTATGATGAATAGGCCCACAGCTGAGACACCAGCAGCAACAGCTACAGCATCGAAAAGCTCCAGCTCCAGCTCGAGCTCAAGCTCGAGCTCCAGCTCCAGCTCATCGAACGAGGCCTGTCTGTTCACCTTCGATGCACATCCATACTTCAGCTTCCCCATGGAACCCTATGCATCCTCCAAGTACGGCTCCCAAGTGCGCGAGCGCAAGATCGATCGCTGCCTTAAACAGCTGCAGGAAGCGCTCAAAGTTGGCAAGTAAGTGCACAAGTTTGTCGCTCTCTCTTTAAATGCTTGCTGCTTGGCAAAGATGACACAATTCTGAATCATTCAGAAATCTATTCATTCATTTACTAATTTATACAGCCTTGTAGAGGGTATTATAATTTGGTCACGAAAAGCTTTAAGTATTTAGCCTCGTGATTGACAGTGGAGTCTGTCTGTTTCTAGTCTCTTAGAGTTTAGGCTCTCGATCGAATCGGAGCTCTTCATCAAACAGCTGTCATAGTTACAATAGGTCGAGAATTAGATTCTCTTTTGTTTTTCAAAGTTTTTAAGTCAAAGCTACCACATACGAACTTGAACTCAGCAGAAGCAGATTATAATATCATATAGCTCTATAAGAATGATTGGTTAAAGATTAACTTGGCCACACTTGGAGCAAACATTTATGAAT